AGGATATGGAGCCTATAAATTCTGTTGAATCCCTCCCATCTGAAGGGGTTACTATAAAACCATTATCCCTTTCACTTCTTTTTGATGGTATTAACCCAACTGTTCCTGCTGGGTCATTGCCTGAGGTAGAGGTGATGGAAGACATTACTGAATGTTCTCAGGAACTTCCCCAACCACCCTTTGTGTCTACTAGACCTATAACTAAACTTAAGTCCAAGCAAGCCCCAAAAGGTGAAATACAAAGTGTGACTGAGGAGGTGTTATGCTAAACCCAAAAAGACCTACTTGGTTTTGCTAACATATACAGATAGAAACCTGGGGAATATGTATGGGAATGGCTGCTGAGGGTGTGGGATAATGGTGCAAGGAATCTAACACTGGATCAGTCTGAGTTGTTTATTGATTTAGGCCCACTAAGTATGGATTCTTCATTCAATGTTTCAGCTCAAGAGGTTAGGAAAGGATCTATTGTTTATTTGGTTGGCTTACTGAAGCATGGATTATGCAGGGGGCCTACTTTAACTCAAGTTGAAGTACTAGACCTGCCTTGGTATAATGTCAAAGAAGGTTTCCAGAGGCTTAGGGAAATTGGCCTGTTAGAACGGATTTATCATATTAGACCACTAGAGCCAGAAATGGGGAGCCCAGATGACATGACTTTCACCAGTATAATGAGGGACAACTTTGTGAAGTGAGCTCCAGTTTCCTTCAAGACTGCTGTGATTGCTATTTTATGTAAGCCAGATTTGACAATGGAAACTTCCCTAATTGCACTAAGACACTTAACTATGATGGAGTTAATTGGTCCCTGTGGTAATAGGGACCAAGTGGCAGCAGTTAATCAACAAAGACAAGGTGGGCATGGTTACCATAATGGACAGCAGGGTCAGAACAGTAATCAGAATACTCTGACTTGTGTGGAATTATGGTATTGACTACTTAGGCATGGTATTACTAGGAGTGAAATACATGGCAAACCTACTAAAAATTTACTTGATCTGTATAGAAAGAAGAATTCTAGATCACATGAACAGCAGTCTAGATTGCATCACCAGAATACAGAATCATGGTCTCTCAATCAATTCCCAGACTTGAGTCATTTCACAGACCCATAACCCCTTGAATGAAGGGGAGGCCATGTCCCCTTGAGGAAGGACCCTGCTACATTACCAAAAATTTATAATGTCAATCTTTCTCCCAGCCTTCCCCAAAGGGATCTGAGGCCTTTTACGAGAGTGACTGTTCACTGGGGAAAAGGAAATAATCAGACTTTTCAGGGATTGCTGGACATTGTCTCTGAACTGACACTAATTCCAGGAGACCCAAAGCATCACTGTGGCCCACCAGTCAGAGTGGGGCCATATGGAGATCAAGTTATTGATGGAGTCTTAGCTCAGGTGCATCTCTCAGTGAGTGCAGTGAGTCTCTGAATCCATCCTGTAGTGATTTCCCCAGTTCCAGAATGCATAATTGGGATAGATATACTGAGCAATTGGCAGAATTCCCACATTGGCTCTATGACATATGGAGTAAGGGCTGTTATGGTAGGAAAAGCCAAGTGGAAGCCATTAGAACTGCCTCAACCTACAAAAATAGTAAAGCAAAAGCAATACCCCATCCCTGGAGGGGTTGCAGAGATTACTGTCACTATCAAGGACTTGAAGGATGCAGGGGTGGTGATTTCCACCACATCCCCATTTAATTCACCTATTTGGCCTGTGCAAAAAACAGATGGATCTTGGAGAATGACAGTAGATTATCATAAACTTAATCAGGTGGTGACTCCA